TAACCCAGGAATGCATGTATCTTCCAAGAACAGGCCATCAGCTATACATTTGCCACTTGCACGGTTAGTGTCATTTTTCTTAACCTGACAATAAAACGATGTGCAATGGCATATTTTTGCAGTGCATCACGAAACTCAACCACACTCTGAAATCATGGCCAACACCGGTAATACAATCTTTCCATGACGCAATCAACTCCTTTGAAGAAGCATCACCAGTATTGGCAAGAACTAATGCACCAGAAGAATCCTCCATCAAAGGTCCGGTCTCTACTTGCTGCTCCACATAATAAGATATTGCACTAGGACTGTCGCTCTCTACATTCCTTCTCCTAGATGTACCTTTTCTTGTCTCCCCAACATTCTCAGTGATAGAAACTATTGTAGGACCATTAGGAGTACTTTGCCAATATGCAGTCCGCCTTCTTTTCTTAACAGTATCAGCTGGGGTAGCGCTCATATCAACTATTATTAGGCCATGGCCACAATCATCAGCAGTGGCATTTCGAACAGAACAAGCAGCACCAGGATCACTGTCAATCTTATAGGCACGAGAACGTTTCGAAGTTCTAGTCACTCTAGTGGAGCTTTTAGTAGTTAACCTTTTTGATTTAGCAGTCAATCTGGTGCTGCTTTTAGTAGTTTTCTTGGCAGCTACTAAGTTGTCTCTGGAAGCAACAGGGGCAAGTTTGGAAGTATCATCAATGGTACCAGTTTCTGTTTCCATTGCAACAGGCATTGTCATAGCAGGTTGAGATGCGACAGTTGCAATCACAGTTTCAGCCACTTTAATCCCACATGCCCTGCAAGTGACCAATAACATTAGTTCAGTGCAAATTTGTACATTTGGTAAATAACCTTTATGACAACCCTGAATGGAACAAAAAATTGCCAAAACTCATTGCCATATTACTCATGGGAAGAGAACTGCAACTGCCTGCAATACAATCGTGTCCAAAACTCACACAACAAGAATGAAACTTGTCTTTAAAACAACTGGTTGAGCAACAATCTTTATCAAAGTAATAACCACAAAGATTTTTAGAAATATGAAGCATCAAACATGCTGGCAGGGCAGCCCTCTTGGCAGATAACAGGTCATACTTGAAAATAAGGGGAGATGGTTTGTACCTGTTATGATGCATGTCAAAGGCTACCTGATCAAATCCCTTTCTCCCTGTCACAAAAACATCCGCCGTCACTGATTCTCCATGGAAATCATACATTCTCTTTAGGTCTCTGTCATTTGATAAATTGATAAGTGTTCTCCGATTTCCAGGAAGAAAGTATTTGATAGACAAAGATGTATAGTCTAAATCCCATATTTCAGCTAATTTAAACTTGAGATCATCAAATACTGTTTCATGGTTGATGTCAATAGCCTCTGCCTCTCCTCCAGTATATGACAAGGACCCATCGTCATTTGTGATAAAGGTACCGCCAGATTGGCATATCAGTATAAGCTTTCCCTTTCCCATTGCAAATTATATCTGAGGGCCAAATAAACAGCCAATTATACAGCTATGTTAATCATAACAACGAGACAAATTCTATTTGCATCACCCATACCTTCCATGCTGCTCTTTCTATAAAAAATAAATATCAAAGGAAAGAAGAAGAATAAGCACACCACTCTCTGGAATTCAAAGCTACTGCTACAAGAAACTCATCATGAAACTCAACAGCCACATATATTTAAATTGAAAAACATTAGATTAGGATATAATATAAATGTCATAATATATCACCATCAGTATCCAAACCATCAAGAAACCAATTTCACTTTTAAATGGAAAACTCATTGTTTGGAAATCACCGACTGACATGTTCTAAATCATAAAGCTCTCACTTACAACAGCCAAAATTTTCAACCAAGAAATTTCAACAAAGACATTTACCCAGCAAAGAGTCACAGAACTCCTTATACTGCCCTCATGAAAACAAAAATGTCAAGTTTAAGGGGAAAAAAACAATCAACCGGAGATAACAAATATCGGCAAGCACGTAGAAAAACGAGTTGCTACAAATTGACAATCATATGATATGAGATAAAAACAAGAAGCCAAGTTCATTATTTTGGTCTAAAAGGAAGCACCTAGCCAGTTGGTGCTCTCCGACATAAAAAGTCAGAAAACGACCGCATTGCAAAGGTCACTTAAATCAAGGAAAATTACCATATTGCAAAGGCTAAAATTACCATATTATACCATGTAAATGGAGGAAACTTATCATAATGCAAAGGCTAAAATTACCATATTAGACCATGCAAATTAAGGAAAAGAACTCTTCATTCTCATCCTTGTGTCTATCTTTGGGTCAGTTGGAGAGAAAGAAACATGTAAAATCTCAAGAGCACTTGCTCTTCTTTTGACAGAATTAGAGATTGCTGGTTTCATCATACCCTGAGTGTTTTGTTTTTTAGGTATTCTATTCTGAGAGGATTTGGGAAACCTTATAGACCTTATTATTTCTAATATTTTCTAACCCTTGCATATGGGTGGGATTTCTGATATTTTGTTAACCCTTCTATATGGTTGGCACCTCCTTGGTGCCCATTAATAATACATTTTCCCTTTTTAATTCCAAAGGATGAAGGACGCGACATCATGAATCCATAACAAAATCTCAACCTCTTTGGGTTAAAACTAAAGAGTGTTGAAGACTTTTTATTTTTAGTGAGAAGAATGGTTGAACACATGGCTGCATGTAGTTTTCAAGATATTAAAGAGTGAATATCTTTCACCCGGCTGCAATCAGCAGGTGATCAAATTCAGAATCACCTTCTCAAAATCATGCATGTAAAAGTCAGATGGGCTATAACCTTCGCTGATGATCAACTGAAAAAAGTTCACATCAGACAACTCAACAACGACCATGTGTACGATCATCCGATCATCCACACTACAAAAGGCATGACGTTTACCAAATATCTGCAAGTTTTTAGCCCAAAAAATAAGATTACACTACTTGTCCGAACCACATTACCAGCTTACTGTCAATAATCAAAGTACATCAACTTTATTATATCACTACAACTGATTTAACTGCGCCAAGAAGATAATTTTTCATAGAATCGGCGCATTACAATGGATTTCACTAATTATACTCGAGAAATTAGAAAAAAATAATAATAATTACAATTGACGGAGCGGAGAAGAAAAGTTCACCATGGGAGAAGCCGCGGGGACTGCAGGGGGATGAAAACCCTAGACTTTTGGGCCTTACTGGAATTAGATGAAGAATCGAAGCGGCTAGAGAGAAGGGTGTTTTAAAAATAAAACATGGAAAATGGGGCTACTGTGGGTACACACGAGACACTTGAGGGGTTGATTTGGAATTTTCTGAAAATTATTTCTCCATAAATGAAAAAACGATGAAAGCCCAAAGACCCAAGCCCGAGCCCAAACCCGAGCCCGAGCCCAAGCCCAAACCGAAGCCCAAGCCCACTTAACAATGAATTTCTATTTTCTTTTATCAGAATTCTTCTCTTTTTATGTCTCGGATTTTCTAATTAAAATAAATATTTATTTATAAATAAATTTCATAATATCGTAATATTTTAATTTATATTATAAAATATATAATTATTGAAGTTTATATATAATTATTACTCAGTATAAATTAATAATTTTTTGTAAGAGAAATTATTTATGAACATACAGTTGGGATTGGGTTCTAAGTTATAAAGATAAGATTGTATTTAAAATAATTTTAAATTTTCTCGAACAAAATTTATTTACATAAAATTATAATAATATATTCAGATTTTTTTTATTAAATTTAATTTTTGAAGGGTAAATTTTGTTATTATCATAATATAATTTATACTCTCTTCTAGTAGGACAAATTATAAATTTCTGAATTTATAAAGTTTATGAAATTAATTTCTAAATTTGCATTTTAGTTTCAATTAATATAAAATAAAAATTATTCTCATTTTACGTGTAATTTTTTTTTTATCAATTTATTTATTATTATATATTTTATATATATCACTAATAATATTTTTTAAAATTACTAATTCTGAAAATTTTATAAAAAAAATAAAAATATTTATAATCATTAATATAAAATTAAATTTACTAATTAAACTTTTTTATTAAAAAAAAAACTAAAAACTAAAAATAATTGCGCCCCCATGTTACTTAATATGACGTAAGCCAGTCATTATAAGGGCGAGTTGACGAACAACGCGAATGCCAGCTAAACTTGTCGCATCTCCCCGCATATTTACAAAATTGTAGGCCCCACCTCCCACTCTCAAAAAATATTTTTTTCGCCCCCATAACTTAATTAAATTGCTGAAATGCCCCTGACATTTTTTTTGTTGGATTAAATTTCTATATGTAAATATGTATTTACATTTATACCCCAGTTGGTCAAGTGTCTTTTTCGATTAAGTATCCGATCTTTGTTTTCTTTTTCCTCGTCGTATTTTCCGAAATCGTTTTCAAGCCACTCCATCTTGGGTTTTCTTCGAGCATGATGAAATTAATTTCATCACCAAATAAAAAAAATTTAATTATTTTAATTTTATTATTTATTATCTAATTCTATTAGAATTAAAATTTTGTATTTTTTTATTATAATTTAATTTAATTTTTGATTTTTATATTTTTAATATTTTATTCGAAAGTTTTAATTTTAAATTTTTAAAAAAATAAAAAATTTTACCTCGGAGATTCTAACCGAATTAACTACCGCCCTCCCAACGGACTTTTGAAGTCATACAAAACAAGCCAAGCCGAAATTTTGATATTTTCTCGTATCAGCAAATACTAAAGACTACAAGGGTATTTTAGCAAAATTGTAAAAATACACTGTTGAAAGACATTAATGGAGATTCGAATCTTTCAATAAGAACATTCCAAACTAAAATGCGAATCTGACGGCCATTAAAACGAGTGAACTGGAAAACCCCTCCCCCCCCCTGAAATCTCCATGGCAGAATTCCACCGCATCGTCGCCACCTTGCACTCTCCTCTCAGACAACCTTAAACTTGCCACGACAACGACTAACAACCGTTCTTTCAAATTTCAATTAATACTCCATATAATAATACCACCTTCTCCGTATTTCTCCCCCCTGATCTCCTCCAATCTCTACCTCTCCCCTTCTCTGCGATTTGCAGGTGGGTGGGAGGAGGCTCGGAGCGTCGAATCCCATCTGGGTTTCCTCCATTCTAATCATTTTCTTCCGTTGTGAGATTTGTTTTCTTTTTTCTCTGTTCGGAGATGGTGATGACAGTTGCTTCTCCCAGAAAAACGGCCTCCATTACAGAGAAGGTGTTTCAGCGGGTTTACAGCAATTTTAATCTAACCGCCACCGCCACAACTGCCACGACAACCACCAGCTACGGTGGTACTACTCATCATCATCACCATATAAAGAAGTCTTCTTCGTTCGAAAACTTCGAGGAGGATTACTACGATGAGGAGGAAGATGGTACCATGGAGCTTGCCCAGATGGGTGCCGACAGGGCCAAGAACGTGCTCATCCTCATGAGCGATACAGGCGGTGGACACCGTGCCTCCGCCGAGGCCATTCGTGATGCTTTCAAGATCGAGTTTGGAGATGAGTATAACGTACGTACATTATATATATATAAATATATATTGTTCCTTAAAAGAAAAATTCATGTCATGTCTCTGGTTTTGGAATTTTCTTCTGGGATCCAATGTTGCTGGAAATATCTTTTCTGGGTTTGTTTTGATTTGATCTGATTCCTTATTGGATAACTTAAAAATTGTTTCTTTCTTTGATTTTTAAGGCTTTGCAATTTTCTTCTTGGAGTTTTCTGTTTTTGTTCTGTAAATTTTCAGTTTCTCTTTCTGTTTCCATTTGGGATTTTTTTTTTCTCACGCATCTTTCGGGTAATTCTTGATTGTTTGTATTCTTTGATATTATCCAAATCCTCCATGAAAAACAAAAATATGAAACGCCCTTGTCTTCTTCCAAAATGTTCTGTTTCTAAATCTATCTCCTTCCCTAATTTGACTTTTATAAATATATATGTATATAGTTGAACTGTATAGCATGTGATTTTGTTTATGTTGGGTGGCATCTTCCAATCATTACAGATATTTGTGAAGGATGTTTGGAAAGAGTACACAGGCTGGCCATTGAATAATATGGAGAGATCATACAAGTTCATGGTCAAACATGTGCAGCTATGGAAGGTTGCTTTTCACGGTACCTCTCCCAGATGGATTCACAGCTGTTATCTTGCCGCTATTGCTGCCTACTATGCCAAGTACTTACTGCCTGCTATCTTCATTAATTTCTTCAAAATGATTCATTATTCAATTACTTGCTTTGGAGATTAGGCAACCCAAATCATTTTCAGCATTAATGCTGCATAGAATGTTAATCTAAATGGTATCTTTAAAGAAAATTTGATTAGAGTTGTTGCCATGTATGATTGAATGAAGGGAAGTAGAAGCTGGTTTAATGGAGTACAAGCCAGATATTATCATCAGTGTTCATCCATTGATGCAGCACATTCCTCTCTGGGTTCTTAAATGGCAGGGACTTCAAAAGAAAGTGATTTTTGTGACCGTCATTACAGACCTCAACACTTGCCACCCAACATGGTTTGAATTCTTTAACCTGTTTTCGAACCTGATAATCTTGTTTTCTTCCCATTAAGAATTCACATTTCTCAATCCAAAACCTTCAGGTTTCATCCTGGAGTCAATAGATGTTACTGCCCATCAAATGAGGTAGCCAAGAGGGCTCTGCTAGATGGCCTCGACGAATCTCAAATCCGAGTCTACGGATTACCCATTAGGCCTTCGTTTGCACGAGCATTTCTCTTGAAGGTTTGAAAGCATTTTGGGTCATGCTTGTGTTGATGGAGATATGAAATTGTTGATTTAAATTTCTTGTTATTGGCTTGTAGGATGAGTTAAGGAAAGAGCTTGAAATGGATCCTGACTTACCTGCAGTTTTGCTGATGGGAGGAGGTGAAGGAATGGGTCCTGTCAAAAAAACTGCAAAGGCTCTTGGGGAATCCTTATACGACAAAGAGCTTGAGAAGCCAATTGGGCAACTAATCATCATATGTGGCCGGAATAAAGTGCTTGCCTCCACATTAGAATCCGAGGAATGGAAGATCCCGGTTAAGGTAATCGCCAAATTTGAGCTCCAATAGTTTTTGTTTCCTAATTGTTTGCCTCTTTAAACATTGTTTTACATAATTTAGGTTCGAGGTTTCGAGACCCAGATGGAGAAATGGATGGGAGCTTGTGACTGCATAATCACAAAAGTACTTTGAAATATCCTTGTGCTTGATGATTATCTGTTGTCTGGTAGCATGGAGGACTAATTGATATTATCATCACCATTCTTTGTAGGCCGGACCCGGTACAATTGCAGAGGCATTGATCCGAGGGCTTCCAATCATCCTCAACGACTACATTCCGGGACAGGTTAGTCGTCAATACTAAGTACTCCTTCACTTGCCTGCTGTAACATTTTAGTCCCTTTTCACCTTTGTGCTTTTCATCATTTGGCAAAACCAGGAAAAGGGCAATGTGCCCTATGTAGTGGACAATGGAGCTGGTGTGTTCACCAGAAGTCCCAAAGAAACAGCTAGAATTGTAAAAGAATGGTTCAGCACCAAGACAGATGACCTAAACAAAAAATCAGAAAATGCCCTTAAACTAGCACAGCCCGAGGCAGTTTTCGACATTGTCAAGGACATCCACGAACTCGCCAAACAGCGCGGTCCTCTAGCCAACATTCCTTACATGTTCACATCATCTTTCACCAGCTTAATCTAGTTGACATACATACACAAATATATGCAGTTGTTCTCAGCTAGATTACTGTAATGTGTACAGCTAGCTTTTTAAATTCATGATCATTCTTTGGACCAAGATCTTCATTTGTAGAAGTTTCTCTAATAGACTTAGTTTTCTTTAATGTTTTGAAGGGCAAAAGATTTTAGGGTGTTTATGGGAGATTTTAGGATTGGATTTAAGAAAAAAAAAGAATTGGGTAAGTACGCATCTTGTAATATTTTGTATATCAATTTTACAACTTTTTCTTAGTATTTGGGTTTCGTAAATTTTGATTATGTATAATTTTATTTATTGATTTTTCTCGCGAGATTCAAAATTTACTTTGTTCAATCTACCAGTACGATGATATAACGATTAACGTCTTAACTTTCTATTTATAAGTCATAAATTAAAACTTTACTGAACATAAAGAGTTCATCATTTCGTAAGCGTCTTATAATTAATGATTAACTAGTCTTATAATTAATGTTTAACTAGTCGATAATATCTGATTCGGTAAAATTAGATTTTAACTCGTTGATGTATAAATATTCTACAACAGTTAAATTTTTTTAATTTAATTAACCATAATAGTTTAATGTTGTACTCGTTCCTTTTTTTTTAAAAAAAAAAAAATGATCTGCGTTGCTTCGAGTTTCAAACGTTGTAAAGCTTTTCTCGAAGTCAAGCAAAGAAGAGTTATGGCAAAGCTAGGTTGCCTTGTTTCTTGGACTGAGTAAACTTCCATGAAAATGAAGCTTGGAAGTTTTTTGCCTTGCTTGCTTACCTAGTTGAATTGAAGCATCGAAAAACCTTGAAATACATAGCGGTTTGAGCTAATTCATTTATAAATTTATATTTATCTTAAATAATAAGTATAAATTATGATTACGTAATTAAAAAATTTAAACGATAGATTTAAATTTTGACAAAATTAAGAAAATTTGACACACATTATTATAATTTTAATTTATATCATATTCTAATAAAATTACTAACTAATAATGTTATTTAAAATTTATTGATATAATTTTTAACGATGTAGTTTTTATTATTTTATAAAAAAAAATTATTGTACAAAAATTTTTAAATTTATTTTAAATATATTTAAATTTTAGTATAGTTTGCATGTTATTTTGTTAAGACTTTATTTAAATGATGGTCCAATAATAATAATATAATTTTTTTTATTTATATTTTTAAATATATAGGATAGTTTTGTGGTCATTGAGTTAAGATTTTCAAAATCGTAATTTTTTTTATTTTTTTAAACAACTGATTCAGTAGTTTTACGATGGTTTGATAAATTTTTTTTTTTTTTATACCCTTAATGTTTTTGTTATTTACCACGTTACCTTTCTCTTTAATTTCTTCTGTCTTACACTTCTCTTTTATTATTATTCTTCTTCTCAAAATAGGATTTGTGAAATTGGAACATTAGACTTATATATTTAATTATATATAAATACATATATATATATAATATTTAGATATATATATTTTATCATATATATTTATGTTTTTACTTATATATTATACATATATAATATTTTAATTATATATGTTTATATATTTTTATCTTTAATATTTTATATTTTTTAAATTTTTTTATTATTATATACAATAATACAGTTGTAAAATAAAAAATTTACTTAATTACACAATAATATCATCGTATCAATCCAAATAAAAACAACTATTACAATCAAATATTAATAAAACATCATACAAACATAATTAAATTTAAATATTAATAAATTTTGTATATATCTGTCCGTATCGACATTAATGAACTTTCGTGTAAGTCATTCAATCAAAGCTTAAAACTATATATATAATTTTGATGGAGTCCAATCATATAAATTTATGAAATATATAGCGCTAAGAAATAATGCAACACTTGAAAAATATTTTAATAATTTAAAAAAAAACATGATAAATAAATAATTTATAGAATATTATTTAAATTTAAATATATATTTATTTTATTATAATGCATCCTTACTTAGTAATATATTAATTTACTATTATAGTTTTTAAATTTATATTTTTATAATAGAATTTAAATATAGAAAATTTTAAATAAATCAATAAAGTTATTGTCTTAATCGATCAAAAGTCACCAACTTGCAATTAATCTTTGAACACATCAGACGTCTTTTTAAAACGATGTTAATGGGACAGAACGTGACTAATAATAACGTTTGTAAAAAAATTTAATTTATTTAATGTTAAAATACATTTTTAATATTTATATTATTATTTTTATTTAATTAAATTATTGTATTTCATGTTAAATTAATTTATATACTTTTATAAGATATTTTAATTAACCTTTCAATGTTATTAATTTTTAATATCATTAATATTTAATGTCACATGTAAACGGTATTAATATGTGATACTTTTTATTTAATTAGTGATATATATTAAATATTATATGATTTTTAATGTAAAAAAAATTAAATATAAACTAATTTTATTAAATTAAATTATATAATATTAATTTTTTAAAATTAGAACGATTTAAATCAATTTATATGCATAGATAATTATATAATATTGAATTTTTTTATAAATAATAATATAAATAACATAAATTATTATCTTTTTAGTATTTTATTTTTTATAAGTTTGATTTATTTATATTTTATATTAATTTTTTACAATTAAATTTTTTATTAGCTTAATATTTTTTTTAAAAAAAGAAATTAATTATATTTGGACTTTTTTTTTTATTTTCTTAATTTCATCTGCATTAAAAGTTTAAAATAAAATTCAAGAAATTTTGGTGCCATTCTTCAAAAAACGAAAAAAAATGGTGTCAAGCCTGAAAACTACATAGTTGGTTTTCTAGCAGAAGGAAGCTCAAATGGTTTTTGGTAGCAGAAGACCTTCTTCCTCAAGTTGTCATTTGGTTGTAATGCCCGGAAAGAGGGGGAAAAAAAAAACGCGCCACGTCAGCAGCCACGTCAGCAGACCCAGTCAGCAGTCCTGGCCAACCAGGACCTGCCACGTGGCAAAACCACGTCGACCGGGAACGGGCCACGTTGGCGATTCGCGTGCGCGCGATCGGACGGTCCAGATCAATCGCACGCACGGACGGCCCATATTTAATCGCACGGACGGCCCAGATTTAATCAAAAACGGACGGCCCAGATTAAATCAAAATGGACGGTTAAGATCAAAAGGCAAAAGGGTATAAATAGATTCCCCACACCAGACCACAAAACCCTAGCCGCCTGCCTCGCCGGAGAAGACGAACCAGAAGCCGGCCGCCTCACCGGGGAGATTTCTGACCGCCGATCGAGGTAAATTTCATACCCCCGACTCGTTTTTCCACACTGATTTTCCCTGTGGCCAAATCGGAGCCAAAATCCCGGCCGAAAGCCAGCTGCGCCGCCGCGCCCCTCCTTGGTTTTTGCCTCCGATGAGGCCCTTCCCGGCCTCCGTTTGATGCAATTTTTATATCACCGTGATCACTATTTTTTTCTCTACAGGTTGACCGGAGCCGAATCACCAAAAGACGAACCTCGCCGGAGAGTCGCCGCACCCGAGAGCACCGCCGCCGGTAAGCTTCGGTTTTCCGTAGTTTTCTGGCCCCCCGAGGGCCGTAGGTTTGTTTATTCACAGAAACCAATGCGAGTGTGGCTGAATTCGGCCGGAAACGGCCGAAAACGGCCAACCCGAGGTAAATCGCCGCCGTGCCGGAGTTGCGATATTGGCCGAAAGGGGCCCTGGACCTAATTTGGGATTTTTTGGAACACGTGCAGGTACCAGTAGTGCGTTTCAGTTCCCCGAAAAAAATTTAGAGAAAATTGGGGACAGCTTGTAGACGCACTGTGAAGCCGTGTTCAGACCCCTAAACGAGTAAGGACCTCTCACCCTATTTCCTATCACGGTATTAAAGTTTAAAAAATGATAAAACGGTATTTCTTGAATCATCGAATGTGTGAAATTGTTTAAGGTCGCTAATGGAGCCTGAGTCTAGTGTGTTTGTCGGTTAACTGTTACTTGGTATATTTTACAGTTTTAAATGCAATATGAGGATTGATGTTTTCATTTTATAGTTTCGTATGCATATTTTACTACTTTATTGATTATAGGTTGAATGACTGAGATACCGATGCTGTATGTTGTCTGTTTGGCATGAATTACTGTTTTGCTTATTTAAATACGAATTGATGAAGCTGATTGAGGAAAAAGGGGAATGGAATGTGATGTAAATTGATAATTGTGTAATATAGTCAGCTTGACTAGATATCTTGGGAGATGGTGGACGGACCGGGTCCGTAGGAGACCCTACCGGGATTGTGGTCTCTCATACCGGACGGGGTATGGAGATCGTATATGTTTTGGCGCCCATACCGAACGGGGTATGGGGACGGTCCGTTTCACCCTCATACCGGACAGGGTATTGAGGTTTACAGTTTTGGCGCCCATACTGGACGGGGTATGGGGACGGCCCGTTTCACCCTCATACCGGACGGGGTATTGAGGTTTACAGTTTTGGCGCCCATACCGGACGGGGTACGGGGACGGCCCTGGAATCTGATTACAAGTATTAAGGGTAACGGGTAGCGGGACCCCTATGGATCCCCATGGATACTAGTAGGCTGGTGAATGAGGGAAAGTGATTGTGCAATGATTGAATTGCAAAGGCGTGATAAGTATTATGTTACACAGTTTATATGATTTCATGATGATGATAATGTTATTACTTTCGTATATTGTTTTATGAATTTCACCGAGGTAAGTGAATGGTAAAATGTTTTATTACTGATAAATGAGTTTATTGTAAATTATGCTCCATTGGTCTTTTTGTGTTTTCTACCCACCTTTACCTCCGTGACGGTGAGATATCGTGATGTCCTTACTGGGCTAATGTAGCTCATTCCTTATTTAATCATTTCAGATCAGGAAGACATTGTTCCCGAGCCCGTTCCGCAAGAAGACGATGAAGGAGACGCCTAAAGACTCCAAAGTCATAATTATAACTTTACTTGCGAATTTCTCTTTTAGTTAGTCTGATCTTTTATATTTTGAGCACGTTTTTTTCTGATTTTAGTGTAAGCGATGTTAATCGAATTTTGATTTCGCTTCCGCATTGACATTTTTAATACACATATTTCATTTTAAATTTTCGGGGCCGTTACATTGGTAATGTCTCGTCGCCTTCATCTGTTTTTTCTTTTTTACTTTCCCAATTTTCTATTTGGTACCGAGAAGCATGACTGTTACCCCCGAAAATGAAACCTGGATTTCGTCTTTTTTTTTTTTTCCCTCTATGGTAAGCATTTAGGTATTCGATGAAGCAAAGCTAACAGCCAAAATTAGAGAGTTTATAGCTGGCTAGTACTCAAATTCGGCTATTGATTTCTATGTAGATCACTACTCCATCTGGTAATTCATCGTTACATTGCTCTTCTTTGCAGGTGAATTTGGTTCCGAATTGGGGAAATCTGGTTCTTATGCGTTGGTTGCTCTGACCTTTCATTAGTTTGTTTGCAGAAGAAATGGTATGCCAATCAAACTCCAATTTCTCAGAGAGTAGAGAGAGAGAGTGTGTATGTGTGTAATGAATGATATGTTTACATATATAGATGGAGATATTTGTTATTGGCTGAAAGCAAGGATGTTTAAATGTTTTTGTTGTGAAAATTCTATTTGATTTTCAGATTGGATGCGTCTTTTATTCAAAACTTTACTTATAGATTGAATGTTTAGCACTGGATTCATGGTCTGACGTTGGCTTAGTTTTGTTTATGAGAATGGATATAGAACCGACTAGTATCATGATTTCTTAAATCCAGAAGAAGAGGAAGGAAAAACTGTCACAGAACAAAAATATCAATTGGGTTCGCCTTGTTCAGGCAGAATAGTTTGATTTTTGTCAATATTTTGCAATAAAACTTGATATGGTTTTTGTTCTACATGGGAGAGTTAAAATTGACATCTACTTGAACTGAAGAAATGAATCTAATGGCAGGTCCATCACTCTAGTTTTGTGGACGAGGGAGGAATTACTAAAGCATGTGGATGCCCTCTTCTCCCACTAAAGAGCCATATAAAGGGTCCTGCACCTGCTTCAGATCAAGGTTGTACCAAGATGCTGATATTGGTGTATTATTACTTTTGTTTACGTAATTGTTTCCAACAGGTTGTTTTGCCTTGTGAGTTTTTGTGCAGGTAGAACTGATATTGTCGATGAAGCAATCACATTCTTTCGCGCCAATGTTTTCTTCAGAAACTTTGACATAAAGAGCCCTGCTGATAAGCTTCTTATCTATTTGACTTTCTATATTAATGTGGCTCTGAAGAGGCTTGAGGGATGCCGAACCTTGGCCGAGGGTACAAAGGCAATCATAAATTTAGGCTTGGAGAAGGTCCCTGTGCCTGGAGAATCGGGTTTTCCTTTTCCTGGCCTCTTCTCCCTTCCTCAGTCTCAGAGGGAAGGAGGTAACCAATATCAATCCTTATTTTACTCAACTTATGGCATACCTAATTGTTCTTATGAATGGTATTTCTTTGGATTTCTCTCTCTCTGTTCTATATGGTCAGAGTTAGACAATAAGAGGTCAATGCTCTCTTGTTCCTTTATATCCACAAAAAATTGGTCTTACTGGAAGTTACTTCTAGATTCTTTTGCATTAAAGTGATTTACCATTCAGTTAACTGATGTCTACAATTATTATGTCATCTGCTGCCCTGTTTTTTTAGACCGAGCTATGCCTTTGATATCCATCTTTTATTTATTCTTCAAAGGATATTGTATTAATAGTCGATACCATCTATTTATCAAGTTGTAAATCATGTGAATTTCTGCCACTAGTGCAAAAAATCAACACTGTTCATAAGTTTATTCAAATCACATTGGTGCCTTAAAAATCATGGCCAGTAATAGTTTTCAAGATGTTGAACTTTTTTCCCGTTATTGAAGACCTAATCGGGACTTTAAAGCTATTATCTCTGTGATCTACATTCATTTTGGTTTCTAGATGGTGAATCTTTGTTTTTCTGCATAATGTTTAGAGTAGAGATGCTATTTCCTTAATCTTTGCTCCTTTTGTATTTAGATCGGACTGCTGTTATTGTGAATGTATGTGTTTGGGGCATTCTTTTCCTCTTCTTTGAAGGGACTTTATGCTGCATGTTGTATAGTAATAATATATCCATAGATATCCAGAGTGGGATGTCTGTTTGATATTCGAGTTCTAAGAGATGAATGATGTATGAACTTCATGGAGCTCTTGCATGTTGATATCTAGAATGGTTCTAAGGTCATGCACTTGTGTGTACTATCTTTTCAATTTCAGTGGCATGGGATGGTGAACCTTTCATGTTACTAGCAAACCATATGATATATGGTGGAACTGAAAACAACTAAGTTCCTCTAGTTTCAACTTATTTACTTAAACTAAACCTTATTTTGTTCATTTTGGTTTGTTTTTCTAACTTTCTTCGCCAAAATGCAGAGCTTTTTAGGAATTATTTGAAGCAGATACGGGAAGAAACAAGTGGAAGGCTATTGAGTGTTGCATATAGACCGAATGGGACTCCAAATAAATGGTGGTTGGCTTTTGCTAAGAGGAAGTTTATGAACATTATAGTTCCTTGAATGGTTCATTGTACATCAATCAAAAGCAACAATATAAGCATTGATAAATTCTGTAGTGATGAGCAATGTGTATTTTAATTGGTGACAAAATGTTCTAAACAAGAAACCAAGAAGAAAATCATTTGTCCTGTAATCTGTAGAATTAATAAAATTATTTTCGGTCTTCCTTTTCCCACCCCAGATTCCATAAAAAATTTTCTGATACTGCAAATTGTTTTTTCCCAATCTTTTGTTAGCATTCAGATGTATGTCTATCTTCATTGTATCGCCAATTGGATACTATTCTTTTAAGTAATATTATAATCTTTTATATTTTGTTTTCTTCATTGATTTATTTGCTGTTAGTATAGCTGTTCAAATAGTTGTTTAATGATCAGCATGGGAAAACTTCCATTATAATTTGCTCTGCGTTTTAGGAGATGCAGATCTAGAACGGAGATTATTTTGGACACTGAAAAAGGATGTGTCCAGAAAGTAGGACGGAACTATAATATAGTTTACCACTCTCAAGACTTGTTACCCTGTCTGGTAGCAGCTGTACTGGCAGAATACTTACTGATGAAACTAGGTTGAGACAAGTCTGAGACATTGTAAAGACACTTAGTTTTCAGCTATCCAACACTAGAGTTATGTTGCAATCATATTTTGAATCAGGATCAGTAGCAAGGTGGGAAGAGTATGCATTTTCTTAGAAGGAAAAGAAATCTGAAGATTTCAAATTGCATTAAGCAGCTTGGTGGATGTACACTGCCTTGATCCTAGCTGCAGAAAAGTCCAATGAATGCTTAGCGTTTCTTTATTACCATTATGCAACTATGCTTTCTGGGAATATTATCAGCTGTTTTTTTCTTAAACTACAATAATATTATTTATGGTTTTCCTTTTTATTATGATTTATGTTGTTTAAATGGTATTCTGTGATTTGGGTGTAGTATGATGTTTGTCTACATACATGATCCTTGGTCTTGCACATTGGTTGTCTGGTTGTCCAATGAGTACAATACATCTTAGCTTTGTGCATGTTGAGATCTCTTGGAGGCTTAAGCTGATTGTTAATTAATAATTATGCTAGAGTTGCCTGTAGGGAAATTGGAGTGAGCTGCAAGATGACCAGATGAAGCCAGCTGCTCCAATCTGTGAACTTGATTCATCGCCATGGTTGGTGCTCTTAAAGAATTTGAGGTACATGGAGTCTAAACTCAACAGTATTCATCTCCAATGATCGTCTCTCATTGCTCTTGACTGTTGTTATTATCTGGGAATATCTAGCATAGGATAGTCTGGAGCGAATGCAAAAATTATGTAGAATTCATTTGCATCTACACTTATTTCAGTGAAGATGGTGATTTTTTTTAAATGATAAATAATTGATCAAATATGAAATTTTGAGTACAAAGTTTTCAAATTTTCATCAATTAGTTTTTAGTATTTTCCTATAACATTTACATTTTCTCATTATTAAACTAAATGTTTATTTACAAATTAATTCCGTAAAATTTCTGTATTTGTTCCACACGTAGCTTTAATCTGCAACTGAGTTCTATAAGTTTGGCCGAGATCGCTTCCTTCACAATTACTCTTCTCTAAGAGCAAAGCGATTCAGGGTATGAGCTGCATAGTCTCTGTAGACTGTACTCGCTGCTCAGAGGAATAGAGATAAGGAGGAAGCAGAAGGACAGGCCTGGTGCATCATGGTGTAAGACTCTTCTGCCTATTGACTTGATAACTGTTTGGGTAGGTCTGAAACTTGACTCATTTAGTACTTTCTTGCTCTTTTGATTTGTCCCGTTGAGCATATAAACATGCAGAGTGAATCTACAATCATAAACACTTGAGTTCAGGGTATCAATGGACCAATAGGTTTTAGGTGCCACTGAATACATCATATATATATATATATAACGTGCGTGTTTTGTGTCTGTAAAAAGAATAGAAAGAGTGGACTAGTAAGTTTTGTTTGGTTTTTCTCTTCTTAAATTCAAAGTTAAGATAATTTTAGTTTTGATATCTACTTTAGCATAGAAATTAGGAGATGGACGATTAGCTACCTTAAAATTTTTTGAATACGAAATTCAACCCTCTATTTTACAAGGTAAGAACGAAATTCTCGTCATAGGGTTCATCAAGGAATTCGTGTAGGAAGGTCATAATAATAAAAAAAAAAATTATTTTCTTATGGAATTCTATGTGGAACTCAAATAAATTTATATTTCATGTGAAGTCAGCTTTTTATTATGTTATATAAGTTTTCTACTTTTAGTTAAATAAAATACAAACTTATCAGATAAATTTTAAGATTCCTAGATTTGGTTTAGAGATAAGGTGAGGAACATTTTGGTTACCATTTATCAGCACATAGAGGATGAAAGCCAATTCTAATTCATGAGTGGCAGCTCTATGTGGCCCTTGTGTAAACCTTGTGGGTGGATATGGGGGGGACAAATCAGTCTTCCCCTGATGCTGGTAGCACAAACACCGCAACCGGCAACAGAACATCAAAACATAAAAACAAACAGACACACACAATTGAGACATGTTTATTTATACCAAACGCGAAAACCCAGTACACCAAAACTTGACAAAAGAAGAGAAGTGAAAAACCTAAAGTATATGGAGAGATCTATATTTGCCAAAGAAAAAGGTAATGTCTGTCAGTCAGTCTTTCTTTTTTTTTTTTTTTATTGTCTTGTGCTGTAAGGATATATATATATATATATGTCATGTTAAGAATGTCATGTTTTCTTATTAGAACAGCTTGATGTCTTAGTGCTTCATCTTAGTGTATTGTACTTAAACTGTGTGTGCATTGGAGGTGTTTGATGAAAACCAACAAAGTGCATGTAAAGTATTCACAGCCAGCACGATGGCATTGTCGAGCCGGTCGGCAGTCCGCCCATCTTTTTCAGGGCATCCCCACTAGCTTTCTAAAGCAATGGGCGTGTGTGTGTGTGTCTTCTTCGCACGCTTTATGAAATTATATGTTTTCTTCTCTGCTACAATCATGCTGTAGCTTTATACACACACACAAAATTAAATTAATAAATTAGCCCACTGGTTATAATTTCATTTCGAATATTTAATATTTTTTATTTATTTATTTTAAACGTTTAATTTAATTATTTTTTTAATTAAAAAATCAAAGTAATTGTGCTGTGTTTAAATATATTTTTTAATTAATAAACTAATAAAAATAGAGAAACCTCACCAAACTATTTTTTTTTTTCTGAAAGTAATTTAAGCGTTTAAAATAAAAAAAAAATATTAGAGACTAAAAATTATTAAATATTAAATTATTTTTATATTTTAATAAAATTGAAATATATATATATATATATATACATACAATTTATATTATATTTTTGTAAATATCTTCTTCTACGAGAAGTCATCTGGACCCGGGTCGGCCCTAAATGGAATCATGCTACTTACGGGCCAGCTCTGGGCCGGGCTGACGCGTACGTCATCATTCCCATCGGACGGCTGAAAAACAATCTCATTTAGTAGTTTAATTTTTTTTTTATTTAAAAAAATTACTAATAAAGCACTGGTAAGACATTTCTCGCTAGTTGCTGCTACTTCCACTTCCACTCTGTTCTTCCCCAGAAAATTTCTCGTTCCCTTTTTTTGGATCATAAATTCATCATTCGTAAAAACGGAAATAGAAATTGTTTTATCGAACACAAATTTAAATTATTTAATTCTTTGATTTTTTTTTTCTGTAATTTAATTGGAAAGTACAGACAAGATCTGAATCTGCAACGGAACAGGTTCTCAGCCACCTTCTTCAGCAGAAGCTCACTCTCGCGCCACCGGATCTTCATCAGCCTCCATGATCCCTCACTCTCACTCCCTCAATTTCACTCATTGATCTCCGCCTCCAATACACGTCCCTTATGTTCCACAAATCTAGGGTTTCTTCTCTCCTCATCAATCTCCGCGCATTCATCCATCGCCGTCACCCTCATGTCATCCAAGATCAATCCCCAAAACCGCAACCGAATCAATGGTCAGATTTGTCCCCAGCCGTGTCTGCACCTCGTGGAGTTCCGAGCACGAAATGGGTCCAAACCGTTTCGTGCGCTCCAGGACTGTCTCCGTGTGAAGCCGCCGGGAGGGCGAGCCGCGATCCGCCGGGATCCATTCGAGGTGCCTCGGTGCAGCGCTTGTGGGGATTCAGCTCGGCCCAGGCTCTACGCGTGCGTGGTTTGCGCCGCTGTATCATGTCACGCGCCTCCGTTTCACTCGCATGCGGCAGCGCATGCCAACTCCGTGCCTCCGGGTCACGAGATTGCGGTGGATGTGGACCGCGCCGAGCTCTTCTGCTGCGCTTGCCGGGACCAGGTCTACGATCGAGACTTCGATGCAGCTGTGGTCTTGGCACAGACCTCCGCTATGCCCACACCATCTCAATGCTTTAATCCCGGGAACCTCCGGAAGCGGCGGAGAGTGGACTACCGGCCTTGGAGCCCCGACATGCGCGAGCACGCGCTGATGGGAAACTGCTCCATCCCTCTCCATGACGCCGATAGCTGCAATGACGACAACTCGCTACCGGATTTGCCATGGGGATTGCGCGGATTGAATAATCTGGGAAACACTTGTTTCATGAACTCGGTTTTGCAGGCGTTACTGCACGCACCGCCTTTGCGGAATTATTTCCTGAGCGACCGGCATAACAGGTATTACTGTCAGCAGAAGAATGGTGTTGGCGGTGGTGGCAGGAGGAATGCCGGTGGTGGTGATGGAAGTGGGAGCAAGGGTGGTAAGCTGTGTTTGGCTTGCGATATGGATGCTATGTTTTCGGCTGTATTTTCAGGAGACAGGAAGCCATATAGTCCTGCAAAGTTCCTGTACAGGTTTGTGGTGATATGTCTTTTAAGTTCTATGTGGCTTCAATGTAATAAAAGAGTTCAATTTGGGGTCTGTTAATGGAATCATTTAGGTATAGTTTTGTTTTTTTTGGGAGTTTGGAACTGGGGGGCTGGGGGTCGGAAGGAGAGCTGGTCAAAGTGAATGAAGTAAGACTAACATTTTATTATACAGTAAATTTGTGGTTTTTGGGTATGGGCCATATTACTCCGATGTCATCAGTTACGTTTTAACCTATTTCAGTTATGAATGTAAATTTTTAGTTTCACTTCTGGCGTTAAATTTTAGGTTTTTTTTTTTTTTTCACCCTGTTGCTAATTAAGATCTTCTATTTGAATTTTGAGTAATACAATTCTTTGCAGTTGGTGGCAACATGCTGCTAACCTGGCAAGTTATGAACAGCAGGATGCACATGAATTCTTTATTTCCATGCTTGATGGGATACATGAAAATGTTGAGAAGGATGGACGAAAGCCTCTGAATCAAGGTACATTACTTTTTCCTCCATTGGTATATGTACCTCTATTTCTTTGGTTGTGCTGTCTGGCCACAGAAATGAGAAAACCATAAAACAAATAAGAGATGAATTATTAGCGTGAGTGTAACGTGCACTTGCATAAAATTTGGAATACCGAATACTCTTGGCCACGTTATGATCATTCATCAAATTCCCCTAGTTTTGCTTATTTATAAAGTGGAA